AAACTTCTATATCAAATAGGCCTTAATTATAATTAGGCAATGAGTAAAAATATATAGATTCTATTACTTTTCTATCTTTCCCAGCTGTGAGGTGTACACATGTTCCAATTATTTCAAAATATTTAACAGAAAATACATTATTAAACTTACTAATGTGATACTTTCTCACTTAGCAATTAATAGCTATAATTACTATCATTGATACCTGCTCGTGCACTTGCCTGCAGCTTTCCATAACTTATAGCCATAGAGATTGTAATTGTAATTGTAGCTAGCTTTATTTTTTTCCCCCTTAATTCGGATTCCAAATTTCGAAGTCTAATTTCTTTATCTTTTCAATTTTCCCAGTTTCTGATGATTCTATATTTGTTCAAGCATAGCCTCACTGAAGAATACCAAAAGGAATTAAGTTCTTGCCCGATTCTCGAGGCCTTTTCTACTATATATATAAATCCCCCCAAACCCCAAATCAAATGACTTATTCTCAATTCAAAAACTGCACTAATATCACTGAGCTCTTCTCTTTTTTCCCTCTAAGGTGAGAGGAAGATGGAGGAGATCAAAAAGAAAAGGAAAATAATAATAATAGTAATAATTTTCACCCATGCTCTATATATGTTGCTTATATTTTCATTTTTTTCGTTTTTTTTTTTTTTTCTTTTTTTTGGGTGCAGTCATCTAGCTGCAGCAGAGGATGAGCAGGCCGGGGGACTGGAACTGCAGGTCATGCCAGCACCTCAACTTTCAAAGGAGGGATTCGTGCCAGCGCTGTGGGGAGCCGAGACCAGGGGAGCGAGGGGACTATGGAAGCTTTGGCGGCAGAAGTGGGTCGTCCTTTGGATTCAGTACTGGTCCTGATGTCAGGCCTGGTGACTGGTACTGCACTATGGGCAACTGCGGAGCTCACAACTTTGCTAGCCGCTCTAACTGCTTCAAGTGCGGTGCTGCCAAGGATGAATCTTCATCAGGTGGCGACATGCCGCGTATGAGGGGGTTTGGCTTTGGCAGTAGTAGTGGCAGCACCAGTCGCTCTGTCTGGAAATCTGGTGACTGGTTCTGCACAAGGTAACTTTAGTTTTCTGACTCTCTCCTTAAACATAATCCCACTTGCACCTTTTGCTTTCAAAATTTTAATAGATGCATTATAACATAAAAACATGACATACCACATATTTAGGATATAAAATTACAAAATTCTGTAATACAATAGTAAATAACCCTCTCGAATTTTTTACAAACTCTATATTACAGTTAGGGAGATCACAAACTAGAGGTTAATAATTTGCATAAATTAATTTGTGCATCTTCACAATTGGAGAAGCTCAAAGGGCACAAAATAATGTTCTTAACATGCGAAACAACATCTGATCAGCTAATCTGAACCCTTATTGGACATATCCAGGCCGGGTTGCAATGAGCATAACTTTGCTAGCAGGACGGAATGTTTCAAATGCAATGCACCAAGGGACTCCAGCAGCAAATCTTCTTATTGATCTATTTTCCATTAATTTTAAGGTATATATATGGACATAATTTGGATTTTTTTTTTTTAATAATTTCATAAGAGCTAAGGGAGCTAATTAATTTTCATGACTCTTTGATTTTAGGTCCTGAAATCCAAGAGGAGATCGATCAACACAGACGATATCCCCTATGCCTTCCTCCTAGCAAGATATATTCCTCATTTTGCACTCTGATCGAGCTGCAACTTCCTTTTCTTTCTTTCTTTCTTTCTTTTCCTTTTATTTTAGGTATATTGCGCAATCATCTCTTTCCTCTTCTAGGGTTTCCCTATATGAATTGTGTTTGAGACTTTTCATTTCAATTAGTATGGAGCTAAATTATATATTTTGCAGTTTGTGAGCTGTTCTAATATCATTATATCAAGTATATAGCTGCATGTGCAAAAATGTAATCTTCTTTAAAAAAAAAAAATTTATGCTCACAAAAAAAATTAAAAAATCAACTTTAACTAAATAAAGAGCAGTGCCAACGACACTCATACGTACTCTTCTTTCAACACACTCTCTGTCACTAAAATTTTCCAAAGTATATAGATACAAAAAAAAAAAAAAAAAAAAAAAAAAGGAAAAGAAGGAAAGGAGAGTATATATATTTCCGTAACAAAATGAAGGGGAACTCTAATGGAAATACAATCATAACATCGAGTGCATGCCCTGTTGCCACTGACCTCTATGTATCGTACTTTTTATTAACAACAAATTACAAATTCATGGGATAGGAAGGTTGGATTGATTCTATCTATAGTTGGAGATTGCTTTTTGGTGAGGGAATATTTTGAAGTATAGCTACTTAAATCAGTTTCTGCAAAGCAAAAACTAAAGGGGTTTATTCGTGCATGGACCACTATACACCTTTGGGATCTTTTGTTCTAACCAATGCAAGGGAAAAGTGATAGCTATATACATAGATATATTTGATTCAAAGTAATTAATTTTGAATTCTTAACCTTAAGCTTGGGGTTTGTTACTTTGTACAATATAATGTTTCATATATAAATTAAGTTATATGTTTCATTTTTCCAAAAGTTGAAACGATTATATATATGAGATTGAGAATTAAATGCATATATATTGCTAGTTTGTTACAAAAGAGAGTTTAAACCATATAACACGAAAAAGTCACTTTAATTTAAAAATGGATTCATAATTAAGATTAAGTAGATCATGCATCATGGAATGTATATGATAAGGCTTAACTGTGATCTGAGCATTGTAAAAGGAAGGCAGATGTGCACAGGCATTTAATGTAAGGCTAGTGATCGATGTTAAATATATGAATCAACTTCATGGATTTTACGTCATGGGTTTAAGTAACTCCCATACTCAAAACGATAATAAAATATTTATTTTTGCAGTTAAAAAAAAAAAATCATGCATCGTGACTTATCACCCCAACCCACACACACAAAGATAAAAAAGGATGCAAGAGCAATTGTAGTACTCTTTGTTGATTCTTCTGTCATCATCACTTAAATTTGAAAAATAATGATCAATACACATTTTGATTTAATATATTACATTATATATTTATTTAAAAAATTATTATTTTTTAGCTTAAAATTAAAGATAAATAAATTTAAATATGCAATCATACATGTATTTTTTTTTTTTGAAAAGCAAAAGTAATATTTATTGATACGGAGTTGCAATCATACATGTATAATGCAGAAATCGATCAAATTAATTTTACTTATATTATATTTTAATAACTAAATCAAGATAATATTAAAAAATATATTAAACCAAATGTGTACCAATCATTTTTCAAATAATTGAATCTTGCTATTGTATTAAATCAAATCTACCTATTAAGTTTGTGGTTCCATGAGAGACCTCAAACTTATATCTATCTTCTTCTTCTTTTTTTTTAAACAACAACAACGAATAATATCATTAAAAAGAGTATAAGAGGTACTCATACAAATACAAGTCACAAAAACAGTTTCCCTACCTCCTGGCTACATAACACAGCCCGGCTTGGAATTTAGACTCCAAATCCCTTCTTCTTAGGAATCACACATTGCCTTAGATTTAAACACCAATCTAGAAAGCAAACGACCATGTTTTTGCCCTTACGCTTAGCCATACGAAGGACTTAATTTGCAAATCAATATTACTACAGTTAAATACTTAAATTTATCTGTTAAATAAATGAGAAAAATAAAATAAAAAAGGTTGATGCCGGCCACTTTTACATGCTTTATTAGGGTTAGGGAGGCATATGGCATAAGAAATGAGGATTAATTTAGCAGTATTTCTACTTAGGTTGCAACCTAATTAGTTTAATTTTAATAACATTATCTTAAAATTGGAAAAGAGGGACACATGACCATTAATGTTGTACTTTGCACCAAGGATAAAGGCACCAATAGCAAGAAACATTGAAAAAGCCATCTCAAAATATATTTTGATCAGTGAAATAAAAGAGATTAATTCATTGCTGGTGATCACTAGAATACAACGAGTACTCAAAGTCGTATGAAAAGTTATAACCCAGTACTCTGACCCAAAAAGCAAGCAGCTAGCTAGCTAGCATACACAAAAAAAAAAGCTAGATATCACTAGAGTACAAGGATTAATTATTATTATTATTATTATTATTATATATATATATATAAACACAATAATTAATAAATTTCATTAACCATGTAGTTTAGTAATAAAATCTTTTTTGAAAAATGATTTAGGGGTAAATTTATTTATATTTTTTTATTACAGCTTTAAGATTTAATCTATAGTTTTTATGTGATATTAAAAAAAATAAATCCATAACCTTTATATATAAAAAAACAAGGATTAATCAGTAAATGAAAACTAATGTCTCAAAATATACATTAAGTTTTCTAAAAAAAAAAAAATCATGATTATATATTAGGGTTCCTTTCTTAATTTGATTAACTGATTGGGGTTAGCTTTGACTATTTGATCCAACCCTAGCAAGAAGAATAAGAACTTTTTGAATAATTCACATAGGATTCCAAAACTTTTAAGGCAAACACCTTTCACATGAGTTCCCTCATTGACCTCTTGGGAGTATGTTTTTAACGATGAAAAATATTTATTGGTCAAAAAGTAACCACACATTCATTAGTGTCTGCTACTACAATCCATTATTTAGCTTTTAGCAAGATTCTTTGCTTCACTTTAAGCTTAGCTTTATGTTACTTCATGTGCTTTTGTTGATTTTAGTGAAGCTGAGGTACTTCATCTCATAATTCAATCATGCTCCAGCACCTAAATTAAGCAGTTTGCTTGTAGAGGTTTTGGAGAATTTTTAATGCTTATCCTAATTAATATAATTTATTTTTTATATCCATTCCGATCTTAAATTGCTCTTGCAAATATTGACATACAAATGTTTTTTTTATAGGCCAAAGAAAATTTTTTTTTTTGAATAAATAAGCCAAAGAATTGTTGAATCAATAAATAACTGAACTTAGATCGTGACAATCAGTATTAGAAATTCACTAAACTCAACTGTCAATTAATTCAATGAAAACAAAAATCATAAAGTATATATATGTGTATCCACTCGATTAATTAGTAAAGTATATGTTCCTGGTCAAAAGAAGCGAATTTAGATCCTCCAACCCATCCAGAGGATCCAAAATTCATTGAATTCAAGTATCAATTAATTTCACTGTTATAGTCAATGAAACCAAAAGAAAATCATAAAGAAACCTTTATCCAATTCAAGGCACGAAAAAAATACTTAAACTTTTTAAAGTTTTTCCTTTATTCCAACTTTATAAACCCACCATCTTCAGCATGGTTAAAGTTTTTGCCTTTCCTTTTCTTTCTTTTTTTGTCAGTAAGGTAAGCATGTTCTAATCCTCTTCAATCTGTTGTGTTGGCCCAATGATGAAGGAGTTATATGAACCATATATGGCTTTTCTTTCCCAAGTCTGATTGTGGTTATTATGTACTCCTATTAATTTTAATAGATGTAATTTTTTTTTGTCCAATAAAATAAAAATATAATAATTTATTGATAAAATTTTATATTTATCCTTAATTAAATGCCATTTAAAAATGGTTTTTTATTTAACATATATTGTAATATCTTTTTTAAAATGAGCGTAAAATAGGAATAAATACATTAAATGGTATTCTTAAAAGAAAAAATGACAACTAAATTTAAACACTCTAAATAAAAAACTAGATCTATTAAAATTGAATAAAGGGAGTAATAAAACTAACATTTCCTGATATTTCATAAATTATTTTACAGTGCTATAATAAAACTAAGAAATCTTCGAAAAAAAACCCACCCGAGGGTTGTGGAAAGGTCTGAAAGGAGATACACACTTTCAAAAAATAAATAAATAAAAATAAAAATTCATCAAGAGCGATTTTAGGCTTTTTAGCAAAACAAAAGCTCAATAGTAAAGTAAGGATGGGTGTTCTTTATACTCGAAAATTAATAAAAATTTTGGGATTGAAAAAAATTAAGATATTTTGATAATAAAAATATTAAGAATGATAATGACAAAATTAAAATTTTCTTAATAATTTAACATATAAAAAATATTTAAATAATTTTATAAAAAAAATTTATATTTAAAGTGTCCGAAAATTTTTTACTTTTATCTTTCTAAAAATCTTTACTTAGTTGATACAAAAGAAAAAACAAAAGCCCAATGGTGAATAGACTAATTCTAGGACCCAAATCTGAACCGTCCAACTAGGGCCCGAATCAGCCCATAAAGACGCATTGATGTTAACTAACTCATATTACATGAGAGTCTTCTCAATAGATGGTAGACTTCATTCATGGGAGTCGAGGAACCCTGAGAACTAAGAAAATCACCATAACATTGTAGCTGGTCTTTCATTTCATTCTCCTCGATTTTACATTCATTCTCAAAAATTAAGCTTCCCCATTTGGTATCATATTCACATTTTGTTCTATATTTCACTTAAATCTGTTCATCTTTTGGGGCAGGAATATGTCCACCAAGTAGTCGACGTAATGACTCACAGAAGCTTTTGTATTGAATATATCTTGATTGGGTTTATGGTAGTACACATTCAACCTTGAATCTCAAATCAGGGAACTTCTTTTTTGAGAATCTGTGTACTGGAGGTACTAAAAGTCTAGGATTTGGATAACTGATGAAGTTATATAATAGGCTTGTGCAGAAGCTTCTCCGCCGAGTAAACTATCGTGAAATCAGGTGCAGTGGCATCCTGCGTTTGAATTTTATGTTATATCACTGCACTGGAGAGTCCCAGGAAGAATTTTTACCCTACCAATGGTATGAGAAGATGTTTCCGAAGTTAACAAGATTGACCCACTTGTTAAAAGACGTGGATTCGATTGATGGAAGACTGGTGAATGTGAAAGATGATTCAATCATCATTGATGATCGAGTCCAACAAAGAATGTATATGTTGAAGTCTCTTGCGAGGGTCTTTATTGGTTCTCCATCACTTCAGCAAATGCTAAAGGAAAAGGCTTCTGTTTCGGGTTGCTTTAGTAAGCCAAATGAAAGAGAGCCTATGATTGTGGGTTCGCTTACAAAAGTTAGCGATTGCTTGAATGTTACAGCTCAGCAGAGGAAGTCTGTTCGTCTCACAATATGTCCGCAGGTCACACAGCACCGGATATGGACAGGAGCACTGGAGGAGGTATTGAACGGGTTGAAAACAGAGATAGATTTGTTGAACCATCTGTCTCCAAGCAAAGGGACGAAGATGGGTCAGCAGATAGTTTTAAGTTGTCTCAAGTTCTTGGCTGAATCGGCTGTTCCTAATGGCCCTGATTCCACTTCATGGATGCAGCTTGCACCTGCAAAAGTCGTGGATTCTCCTCCTTCGCCCAAATGGGAGGATGTTCTTGAGATGTTCAATGATCTCATTAATTGTTTGCAGAACGAAAAGGGTTTGCTTTATCATTTGACAAAGATTGAGATAATGAAGGAAGGTCTGTCTCAGATCAGGTATGTATTACTCGATAACAGTATCGGGTATAAGGAGGCACGACTTCAAGAAAGCCTGATAGGAAAAAAACTCTCCAAGACATTGGGGCACTCTTCAAGATGCTTGTTTACGCTTTTGTTGTATTACCTCTACGGACACATTAGAGATATTGAAGTGGATTTGTGTGGTGGGATTTATGGGGACGGTACTGAGAATAGGTTTACACTTTGCATGGGTAGAATTATGACTTCATACGAGGAGGAGATGATTTGGAATGGGGTTAAGCAATTGGATAGGGCTCTTGGGTTGTTCAGGTTTGTGTGGGAGACAGCAGGAATGAAAGGGAGTTTGGTGTTGCAAGGCCACTTGTGGTGTGTAGGTGCTGGTGAAAGGTCATTTACATATAGAGGAAGTGAATTCTTTCTCCATGGGATCATCCTTGGACCAAAGGGTATCTAATCAAAAAACTGTATGACATTTTAAAGGCTATTTATATTTATAATGCAACCACAAGCATGACATGTTAATAACCTCTTCTGCGTTAATAAGCAAGGAAACTGAAAAAACTGGAAAATAAATGATATATTTGAAATAAGTATAGGTTTTTGTAAATGTCTGCAATTTCAGCTTCTATCTTGTGTCAAAGTAACAACAGAGAACAATTCTTCACACACAGCGGTATTGAATTTCATATCATTTCAGCTTAGATTTTGAAGAGCTCTGGAGTGGTCTTGCAACTGATCGTGTAAGGGCACTCTTCGTAATTTTCTTTGCATCATTTTTTATAGATGATAAAGCACAAATTAGGGCAATCAACATTGTAGGATAAACGTACACAGCTTTCGTAGGATCTGTGTTTGCTGGCTTTCCTAAGATCCCTTCCTTGACAAGACCCCAAATTACCAGAAGTGTCCCAAACATGCTCATCTTTCCAGGTTTTAGAATACCGGCCAGAGCTCCTGCCACACAGAAGTAACTTCCTGCAAGAACCTGCATGAGAACCGCATCATAGAGATGAGATTATAAGATATAGACATTATTGACAATATTACAGTACAAAAAAGCACACATCTCAGATATAAGAAGCACAAATATATAGATGCTTATTGGAGGAGAAACCCTGTAACAATTATCTGCTTGTACTCAAGCCTGCACTCTCCAGCTCTCTAACATTACACTGTTCTGATGTTGGGACCCTAAGTTATCTGATGTTTATCCCACTAAAAATTCTCATTTTCTTCATCCACAAGACAGATAAAACATGGAAACCAAATCACATGCTTTCTAAGCTAAACAGTTTGCATGGATGGCATTATCATGTACCAGTATAAAATTGTGAAATTAAGGAAGTTTTCAGAATCAGGAAAAGATTCAGAAGTGAAAATGTTCAAGTAATTTTTTTTCTCTCGATAATTTGATTGCAAGTACATAGGAAAAGATATGAACAAGTTACAGTGACTCCATGTGGCAAGATCTGCAAACAATTCAACATTTGGAGTATGGATATTTGTTTGTGAGACATGCTACCAGGTGATGTCAAAACTCAAAAGACACACTGCCACATGGGTGACTTTTTATATTTATTCAGCTTGTTACCAATGGCAGAAAAATTAAAATATTCTATCCAAAATTCGTTTTGCAAAGATAACAGCAACTGATATCATGGATAAGTTTGTGGATGGACCCCTGAAGAGGTAAATGCTTCCATCCCAACAGCAGAACTGTAAACATCTTTGACTAATACTTAATTATGCATCAAACAAAAAAGTGAAGAAAAGCAGAACCTCTAGGCGCTGAAGATCCGTGATTGCAGAGGCTTCCTTAGCATTGGTCAAGTTATAGATGTTTAACAGATTGTCCCATGCAGGAACAGTCATGTTCCTGACAAGGCCATTTGCAATGGCTCCAGGGTAGAGAAGGGCCTTCACTACCGCAACAGGAAAGATCTCACTTGCAATTAACTGGGAAGATGTAACGTGAATTGGGGTTGAGCACATACCACATCGGCATGGAATCCTGCCCAGAAAAAGATGAGTAGAAAAGTCAAAGCCTGATTTGGCATTGAGCACAATACTTATTACCAAGGATGAAAACAGATGTCATTGTTACCTTATTGTCATCAGGCATAAAGAAGGCAAATATAGCAAATTTAAATTTTGAGATAATTTCAAGAAAAAACACTATATGAATTGTGGTATCACTTGGAAGGGTGTTTAAAGTGAGAGAAGCTACTAAAATATCATTATAAGACAAGTACTTGCATTAAGAGCGATGAACTGAAATTGGCAATTTTCAATGGGAATGCACTATAATTCAAGCAGTATAGTCATTGATTTTTATGAAGTTCAAATATTTGTTAGTTATAAAAGTAACAGATACTCAAATCTGAGTGATGCACAAAATACTTGATATATTAATCATCTTACAGATCTCATATAGTCTTAAATCTCAACTAAGATATTATGTTTCTATTTACAGAAGGGCTGTAGGATCTGTAGATGAACTATTGCACATCTATGATATACTGAATCAGGTGCAACATATGCACTGATCCAGGCAGTTTTCCCTTTATTGCCTGTTCTTCAAGAGATTGAATAACATACTCGAGAGGGCCGGAGACAGGAATTAAATTACAACAATTCTACATGAATCTCCAAAATCAAGCTCAAAAGTCAAATCTACAAATAAAAGCAGAGTATGATCACATATAGCTTCAGGACCAATCTAATGGTTCTCCGTATCATTGCCATCTAATTGCACCACTTCTCTTCAGTTGCCCAAAGCTTCTTTGGGACTTTCTTTACCTAATCCAATTCCAAAGAGATCCCAACAAACCAAGCAAGCCAACTATGACCAGTTGCTAAAAATGAACAGAAGCAAGTTTGGCAAAGAACGACCGTGCAAGACAGCAAAAATATCGAGAAAGGTGCATCCTAAATAGATCATCAGACAAATCAACATAGAACTTTAAAATAGCCAACACCCCAGAGTTAAAGCATGGAAATTAAGAAAATTTGAGTAATACCCAGATGGAGAAACAGCTCAGGATTCGAAATCATACGAGTGTTAAAGCTTAAAAGAACAAAGAATGGAAGGAGTTCAAGTCAGTGTGCAGGGAAGACGGGATTTGAATTTCACCTGAAAAGAGGGATCTGAAGAATGATTAGGAAGAAATATATCCGAGATGCCATGGAGGAGATACTTCTCACCCATCCTCTTGACGGTGACGCAGTCGACAATGAAATCGCCATTCTGTAAAGAGTGAGAGAGGAGAAACAGGGGGTGAGGGAGGGAGACTGCAGCGAGCTAACGTGATGGTGATTGGTGAGAGGGGAGTCTGAACCACGAAGAAATTCACAAATGAAAATCCTATATTGGCCCCTAAATTTATTTATATTTTCTCTAGTTAGACCTTAAATTTATTTTTTTGACCAATTAATCTCTTTGCTGCTTTGCAGTTTTACTATATAATCTAACCAGTCAAAGAGAAAAAATATGTGATTATGTGGTCTAAGGAAAGCTATCAAGCTCACTTTGTGAGAACACTTGGTGAGAAAAAGTGTAGACTAAGGATGGTTGTAGAACAATGGTTTAAGAAATTTGTTGATTATATGATATTGTTTTTATTAACTTGACCTGTTTTCATTTTAGTTTTTTATTTTAAAATAAAGTAAATATGATCAAATGGTTTCTATAAACAATTCAAGTTGAGGGTGTTAAGTATGAACTTAATTTATACTTATCGAGATTGAAGCTTAAGTGTGGAAAAAATTATAATTTTTATTTTTTGAACTTAAACTAAAGAATTATAATAAATGTACATTATTTTGATATATATTATAAATTTTATATGTTTTTAAGAATATCAAGCATGAGAAACTTAACAAATACAAGTGCACAACCTTGAGCTCATTTAGCAAACAAGTCGAATTTGAAGGAGTACTTTGTGAGCTACTCAGCTCATTGGCAAGACAACTCCAAGCGTGGGGACTTATTTATTTTAAAAAAAAAGTTTGAGAACTATTTTAAGAAATAAAATAAGTCAGGGGATCGTACCAAGGATGAGTAAAACGACAGTGTTTTAGACGAATAAACAGCAAAAGACGACGGTGCGTTTTGGAAATCGGATTTCTTTGTAGATTTTTCATCGCAGATACTCAGAGCTGCTATGGCTTTTGCTTTATCGCTAAGCTTCTCGGTGGCGCTTCAGCGTTTGCCGTCGTCTTCTTCCGCCGAATGCGTCTCTCTGGGTCACTCCAGACCCACCAATTTTCTCCTACCGCGTCGCCTTCTTCATCCATCCACTCTCACTTTGGCTCGCCGCAGACATAACAATCCTGCGGTCATCTCCACTGCCTCGCCTTCTTCGAAGAGAAAGAAGTCTAATAAAGCGAAAAAAAATGTCAGTAATAACGGAAATGATGGTATGGAAGAGGATTTGGAAGGGGACCCTCTGGAGGCACTGTTCAGTATACTGGCAGAAGACCTTAAAAATGATGGGTCAGCAACGGAAGGGGGTGATGATGACGATGAGATAACTGAAGAAGATATTGATAGGTTAGCAAGTGAATTGGAGGAAGCACTTGGGGACTTCGAGATAGGTGCAATCGACTCGACTTCAAATGATGCAGCAGATGACGCTGGTGAAGACGACGACAATGATGAAGAGGAAGATGAAGGTGAAGACGACGATGAAGAAGAAGAAGAAAGACCGGTGAAGCTTAAGAATTGGCAACTTCGGAGATTGGCTTACGCTTTGAAAGTTGGGCGTAGGAAAACCAATGTGAGGACTTTGATCTCTTTATTTTTGTTTTGCTCATATTTCATTGCTCAGAAGGTGAAACATGAGATGCAATTGCAATGCTACTACCCTTGCTAGTTCCCCAAATGATAAATGGGTGAATTCGACCAAATTTTGTAGTCTCCATTGTCCCAGTAGCTTAGTTGCTAAATTATATGCTAGTATGCTAGTATGACTGCATGAGTATTGCCTTTTATCCGAATCTTATTGAATTTAGTAAACAGTGTTTTTATCTTGCTTGAATATGAATTTTTGGATGATGTCTGAGGACGTATCCAGGGAAGAAGACAAGGAAATTGTGTGAAAGACTATAATCGTAGTTGCATGATGTGGTGTATTTCAATGATTTGTGCAAGTTTTGTTCTCTGTGAGTCCGTATTCAGGCATTAGTATCAGTTGTTTTCTAAGTTAGTTTCCTATTGTTTGCAGATCAAAAGTCTAGCAGCTGATTTATGTCTTGATAGGTCTGTTGTTCTCGAATTGCTGCGTGACCCTCCTCCAAATCTTATTCTGATGAGTGCTACCTTGCCTGATGAACCAACTCCAACTGTTCCAGTCTCTGAAACAAAACCAATAGAAAGTGAAAAAATAACAGTGGAAGCTGTGAAACCTGAGAGAAAGGTGAAAGAGCCAATCCATGTGATGCAACATAGATGGTCTGCACAAAAGAGGCTTAAGAAAGTGCAGGTTGAAACCCTTGAGAGAGTCTACAGAAGATCAAAACGACCCACTGTAAGTAAACGTTTTCTCTGCCTAACCCTGCAGTTGGTGTTTTGGTTGATATCCAAATGGCGTTGGTTTTTGTTAAATATTTGTCAGAAAAAAATTTATCATTAGCAAGCAATTTATCTTGAACCTTGTATATTGGTGATGGGAGCCAACTAATTAATTGTTATATTTTCAAGAGTTAGAATCTTTTTGAAAGAAACAAAATGAAAAATGAACTTTTTTCATGAGCTTCTAATATGCTTGCCCTGTATGTCTACTCTGGGTAATTTTACTGCAAAATTATACCTGAAAGCTACAAGCGGTACTGTTCTACCATACCAAAAGAAGCTGAATAGGTTTCTTTTGTAAGTCCAGACTAAATTTGTTTATCAATTTCCACTTCTTTAGAGTGATGATGTATTTTAGTGGAGCTCCCCACTTCCAGAGTCTACCCTCAAACTTCAATCAATGTAAATGTAAGATATTGTTATTAACCAAGTTCAAATGGTATAACCAACACTTCTTGTACAATTACAGGACAGTTTGAGGAGAAAATGTTTCGTTGAAACATGTTGGAAAGTTGAGTGGTAATACAGAGAGATGAGGATTAAGAAATAGATAGAAACAAAACTGCTTATCAAGCGATTGTAGACTGAATTAGGATTAAGGCTGAATTGAGTTGAGATTTGATCTCCTATATAGTTTGATTTTACATGGGGTTTATTCTGGCAAGTTTTTCTGTTTTTCTTATTTTAACATCATAGTCTCATTCCCTCTGTGTTTGCATGATGCAGAATGCAATGATTAGCAGCATTGTTCATGTGACTAATGTGCCTCGTAAAAGAGTTCTGAAATGGTTTGAAGACAGGCGCAATGAGGATGAAATTCCCAGTCACCACCTTCCATATGAACGGTCTGTTCCTGGAACTGTCTCCTCCCAATAAAATATTATGTATATTTGGGTTTAACAGTGGTACACATAAGACAGAAATTACATGTTCCATACCTTCTTTTGCTCTTTTTTGTACTCAATATGATGTCAATAATCGCTAATCCCAGGCTAGTCCCCTGCGCATGACAGAGAATGGTTTTTACATGGCTGATAGATTATGGTTTCCCTAATCATCAAAGTACAAATAGGTTTAATTAAAGTTAAAATTTTTATATAATTTCATACAATTATCTTATGTGATAGATTTTAAATGCGCTTACCATGTTTGTTCTTGTATTGTGTGTGCCATCTCGAGGTTTATTGCTTTGGTCTTGTGGGATCTTTGTAGACCTGTAAACTTAATTAGCTATCTGATACATCGGTTTACTTTTTCTCACCAATGACAGGAACCTAGTTAGAATTGGTAAAGCTGATTGACCATTTATATAAACACTTAAAAAGTCTCCAACTCAAAATGAAATAAAATGCCAGTTGGTAACTAAAAATTTAGGGTGAGATGATGTTTCCTGGTTTAAGACCAGGGCATTACAACTAGTATTTATAGATTGTCTATCCATGATGAACTGCAAGCAACCAGGGTCGAATCTAGGCATAAGCAGGGGAAGTGTCCAGTTCTTACCATTTTTTTTTTTTTCTTTTTTTTATCAGCCCTAGTTCTTACCAATTGAGCTAACCCTTACTTCTTACCAATTGAGTCAACCCTTACACGAAATATGGTTGCTTTTAGATGGCCTTAATAAAGATTTGAAATTACAGGTTAAAGAGCCAAGACATTGCTGTAATAATAAGTCCAAAATAAGGGAAATTCTGTTGTATCCTTGGGATACTGTGGGTGTGGTATCCTGGATCAATAAAAAAAAACCACCTCAGTTTTTTTTTTTTTTTAACACCTCATCAATTATTTAACAGAGAAAAACTGAGATAGTGTTTTTTTATTAGATACCACGTCAATGGTATCTTGGGAATATAACAAAATTTCTCTCAAAATAAGTAGTTGGAATGTAGCTAAGGGAATCTATGTTAAACATATATATATATATATATATATATATATATAGAACCTGCTATATTAGGAAAGCAAATTATTATAAATTGCTGAGGAAAAACAGGACAAGTTTTCAGATCTAAAACTACTAGATACATGGAATTGACTTGAAGACTAGAAGAAGAGTTGTGCCAGACGGCCTTGACTCAATTAAAATCCATACAGAAACATACGAGGGTTCACATGACAACTTACAAGATCATCTTATACTTGACCACTACTTCAACAGAATAATCTTCGGCATTAACGACACCATCCAAACAAAAGCATGTTATGCAATAACTTCTTCTTCTCTTTTCAGATACCATTCCATCACTTGTCTTCCTTATTCCATTAATCCTTCTACCTGATCATAAACATATAAATTCATGCTTCTGTAAAAGCTCCATAATGCAGCAGAAAGAAAAAGAGGAGATTAGAATATATTCATGGCAACTTGGTCTGGGACGATAAGTACGTGCTGGGGGAGGATGGGACGGTGCAGTTCCTGGAAATGACGCCATGCCAGAGCACCCGAGAGCGTGGCAGCTCTGCTCCAGCAGGGCTCAACAGCTGCCCTCGCAGCTTGTCCACCCCAGCCAATAAGAAACAATTCTCCCTTCAAGTGTTGCTGATGTTATCCTCTGACGAGAACAAGCAGGCAGAGCCGGCTGCCCCGGAATCCAAATCAGGAAAACACAAACCTTAGTTGGCTGGAGATTGTGCTGTGCATGTGCTTGTGCCTGCCTGTTGGCTGCTGCTTCCATTCATTATTTCCTTCACCATTTATTTTCTTTGGAAACAAATAATCGAAATTATTCCTTTCAGTAGAAAATAAAGTTGATTCTCAAAAATGTAATTATGAACTTGACTTCTTTTTTTCTTTTTCTTTTTTTTGTGATAATTTTGAATTTGAATTTTTTTTAGTCTGGCTTGAAAATGTAAAAATGCATGGTTTTAACATTTTGGGTATCTTTTGATTAATTTCGATGTAAATATCAACTAATTCCTCCTAACAATCTTAAAACTTAAAAGCCTATCATTCCATCACCTAATGCACTATAAAAAATTAAAATTTCTTTAATATTGTTCTTAAAATATGAATCAAAATGTTATAATAATTATAATATTACGTAGTATTATAAATTTTAAATTAAACAAATATGAATACATAAAATATAATGATGGACTCAATATTGTTCTTAAAATATGAATCAAAATGTTATAATAATTATAATATTGCGTAGTATTATAAATTTTAAATTAAACAAATATGAATACATAAAATATAACGATGGACTCTTAAAAGAAAACAATTAATAATATAATA